CTCGTCGGTAATAATTCTATCCATCTATTTCGCCTCATTGATCAGTTATTTGGCACTCAATACGGCTACACTGCCTTTTTCAACTTTGGAGGGATACATTGAGGACGGCACTTACAAATTACTTGTTCTACAAAACAGCGCTGAATATGACATTCCTCGTGTAAGTCCATTCTTACTTACAGCTTAAAAATTACTTTGCTTAATAATAATATATTACCTAATTATAATTTTTTGTTAAAGCGCTCGCGAATAAAAACAATTTCGCGATTGTAGCAAAAAAAATTTTAAACACAACATAAATGAGTCTAATAATTCATTAATTTTTTGAAAATTTGATAATTTTACATATTAAAGAGCTTAAGGGGGTTCTTTAAAAAAATATAAAGAATCGATCATAATCTTGAGAAAAAACATCTGCTTTCTCGATTTTTAACATGAAATCACACGATGCTCGATTTCTTGAATGATAGCATGCATACAACCATGCCTGCTCTAATGTATGCTAGAATTCGTTCATACATTGAGCGCTGCATATATATAATTTTTATATTTATTATGGATTACTTCATAGCTTATTTGCATGCACCATTAAAAGTGTATACGAAATTAACGTAAATTACATCGAATTGTATTCGTTATGTGGCTTTTGAATGTTGACAGAGAAAGTCTGAATTTATTTTGCAGTTTAATGGATATTGATTAAAAAATAACTTATAAAATGTATTATGACTGCCTTGAAAATATATGTGAAGTTTACAATTGTATTTTTAAAAAAGCAGAAGAAAAGCAAATCAAAAGAAATAATTGCTAATTTCACAGTTATTTATCAAACGTCAGACTATATGCATCAAACAAGCATAGCAGCATGCATGTTATATACATATACATGCGTTGTTGTATACATACTTATCATTCAAGAAATCGAGCATCATGTGATTTCAATTTTAGTTTAATAATGGCTTCGAACATTAAGTAAGGCGAACGTTAACACGCAATTGACTCACTTATTTTCAATTATGTAAAATAATTTACTTGCTAAAATGAGTAAAAAAGGGACAAAAACAATGCTTGTTCATACGGATCATCAGAAGAAACGAAAATTTCGAGATAACAACATCGTTGAAATGAGCACGGAATTTGTCGGCAAAAAATTTCAAAGACATCGACTTTTACTACTGTTTTAAAAGAATTCGGCTATTGCATTGAAAATTTTTTCACCGTTTTTTTGACAATTTTATCGCATATTATTTGTAAAAATTGCAAAAGTAATATAAAGTTTTCTTAAACCACTAATCATGGTTTGGGTTTTAAAATTTCCATGCAATGCAATATTGCAATGAAATGTTAATCCCCCCTTCATTTTCTTATATTAAAAGTGTATACGAAATTAACGTAAATTACGTCGAATTGTATTCGTTATGTGGCTTTTGAATGTTGACAGAGAAAGTTTGAATTTATTTTGCAGTTTAATGGATATTGGTTAAAAAATAGCTTATAAAATGTATTATGACTGCCTTGAAAATATATATGTGAAGTTTACAATTGTATTTTTAAAAAAGCAGAAGAAAAGCAAATGAATGAAGAAGCCGGAAATATTGCAATCAGCTTGACTCCGGGTGACGGAACATAGAAAAAAGATAATTTTTTTTTTATTTGGTGTCTCTACTCTTATAGAAAAATATTCGAAGAAAGTCGATATTGTAAAAAGTAGCTTTTGTCGAGCATATAATTGATGGAATAAGAAGAACGAGAACATTAATTGATATGAAATTCACGAAAAGAAAACTGCTCTATAAACGGCAGTGCGAGTGAAATGAAGGTTGATTATCAGAGATGTTTTTAAGATCTGAGGAAAAATATAGAATTCGTTCGATATATATCACGTATATTGGAGATAAAGGGTATAATAAAACCTTTAAGGATATTTTAGATATTAATCTATATGAATAAAGAAGTTACTATGAATAAAAAGAATGCATCGATTATGTCGGAAAAAGAAGAATGAGTACAAGACTTCGAAATGCGAAAAAGAACAACAAAGGCCATATTCTGATATGCATTGCCAAATAAATATCTATAAATATCTAAAATATCTAAAATAAAAATCTATAGTTTACATTACATATACTAGTAGATTTTCAGTACTGATTTTCAGTATCTATCGGAACACGGCTAAAGATATTGATGGCAAAGATGCCGTCTATTGGTGAATTCACAAAATATTGTGATTCAGCTATTCAAAGACATTCTGACTCTCTTATGCATGATCTACAATGGGCAGGAGCAGTTAAGGAGTAGGTGTAGAAATCAATTAATTATAGCTTAACTAATCATAATTCATCAATGGAATATGAGAAGGATAATCAACTATAATTGATCGATTTCTACGCCTATTTCACTACTCCGACTGCTCATTGTAGATCACCCATTAAAGAAATGAGAGAAGAAATACCACAAAAATTATACGAATAATAAGCCGTAAAGCCGCACGAATATTGTATGAATAGTATTCAAGTGAAAACAATTGATGCAAGTAAAGCCGAAGTCATTTAAAAGTTTTACTCATGACTAATTATCTCTTAATAGTAAAGTGCTAAAGATATTAAAACTTGTTTATGAGGATTTATCAGATTCTTTAGTAGAAAGATGTTTACAAAAACGCAAAATAATAAATTTATAATTTATAATTTTATTATTAATTTGGACTTTTGCTCCAAAACACATTCATTCAAGATCAAAAATTATAGAAATCGCTTTCTTGGCAATAATAATATTTAATGAAGACTTTTTGCTATTCTTAAAAATAATGAGTGTTATGAGAGCAAGTATTGATCAGAAAGTGGAAAAATGCTATATATTTTTATTCAAATTACAATTTTTTAAATTTTGCAATATATCAAGGACCCCTTAATATTGAAAATGTATGAAATATACGTCCTTGCGAAACATTATTTGTATCAGTCGTTCAGAGCTCGAATGAGTTCGCTAAACAAGCAAAAATCCGATTGCCGAGAGGAAATAACTGTTTAGCAAGCTATGTTCGAGTAAGAGGAGAGTCCCCTCTATGGTCTCCTCCTGTATGCTGATTAATAATAATTAACATTTTCCCTGTGTAAACTGCTTGTAAAAACTTTAAAAGTGTTTTTCTCGAAATTATATTTTTTAAATTTCCATGATATCTCAAGATCGACTTGATCAAGTGAGCTCAACTCGTGTATACATCTTCAGCATATGCGTCTCTAATCACAATTACGTTAAAATATTGTTTTTTTTTGACAATAATTTAAAGATGCAAAAAGTTTGCGAAATTTAATTTTCAAAATGACATTTTTTAAAATTTTCAATATTTTTCTTTCATTCTGATCTACAGTTAAAAGCATATTAATTAAGAATCTTTTCCAATTTTTTATTTCGATCGAGCATAATCGGCCTAATGGAAGCCAAGCGTAAAGATTTTTTTTCATCGATTATTTCAAAGCGATCGATTTTTTCATCGATTATTTCACTGATGATAATTTTCATTTTGTTTATTACACAAATGATGTTATCTTTTTTCCTACATATTGTTTAAATGTTAATAAATGTATAGAACGAACCAGATATTTAATCTTCATAAAAGATTAAAAAAAAGAAAAATGTAAAAATAACATCTGTTATAGTAGGATACCCTCTTAATTTTATTTCTTAATATATTAGAGAATATATTATTCTTAATTTTTTTATGTCCTCATAATGGATTACGGACAAAAGTTATAAAAGGCATTCTAATTAAGTATTATAAATGAAAGAAAAACGCAATATATTTTTATTCAAATTATAATTTTTTAAATTTTGCAGTATACCAAGGATCCCTTATTATTAAAAATGTACGAATCGCGGGAAGATAAGGAATATTTACCATTTAATTTGATTGAAGGATTCAAGAAAGTTAGCAATGTACTTCATTAATGACATTAACAGTGTTAAATTTTTAAGTTGATTCATGCCAAATTTTAACATAGATTTGCGAGCGGATGGACTTGGCGTTTTATACGACGGAAGTATTCAAAAACTATATGAGCATTTATATACAATGTGAGCTGGTATATATTAATACCGGACGAATCGATAATAATGCGATAACTTTAAAGAAAGGAAGTCCTTACACTGGCTTTATAAATTACCAGTAAGTCTTAAGTATACATATTTATTTATAGCTTTATCTTTTAAAAAATAAATATTTTAAATATTTTTTTAATTTTCAGCTTGAGGCGATTTCAACTTAATGGCGTTATAAATAAGTTACAAAATAAGAATCCCTCAAAAATTCCAATAAAGGGTAGTATTGGTAATTTTACGGTCGATATAACCGATGTAACACCGATTTTAACAATTGTAGTAGGCAGTACAGTCCTTTCATTATTTGTCTTGCTAATCGAGAAAGTGTATTATTCATTTAAAACTCCAAACTCTAAGAATAATGAATCCATTACAAAATTCACTTACAATCTTAACGTGAGAAATAAATTGCGGAAGGAATATGAGAAGAACTAAGACTTAAAGAATTTTATAACAAATCGATTGACTATTAGTCATAGTACATATAAAAAATAATTATAAATGCTGTAGAAATTTATTTTGTAAAACAATACTTGCAATAATATCTATATTTATCAATTTATTTAACAAAAAAAATATTAAGTTATATTTATATTTTGGAAAGAACAAATTTTCTATACAGGTAATTTTAATTTACTATTATTTTACTTTTTCGCAAAATGCACGGACTGCGTGCTTATATCTCGCTTACACAAATATAATTAATAACATAATAATTATAATTGAATTAATAATATTTTTATATTAGATTATAATTAAATAATAAGAATTTTATAATGATAGATATACTCAAAAGATTATAAAGACATATTACATGATTAAAAAATGGATTTTCCGTTTCTTGACGTACCGAAAAATCGCCAAAGTTATTCGGATTGCATATTTAGCTGGAGGTTGTTGGAAATATTCTAAAAATAAGAATTATTACTCCGTTTGATATGCACTAAATTCGCTTTTCACGATGACCAAAAAATATACATTTGATTTTAAAATACTCAATTATACTTGCCTTCTGTACCTATCTGCAATCTCTTGGCTATACGTAATTTCCTGTAACAAGGACGATCTTTGCCATTAAAACCTTGCATAATAGAAGGAATAAGGAATTAAGAATAAAGAATAAATGAAAGAATGAATTAACCTATCAGAAATTGGATACATTAGAATACACGATTTCTGATAGATTGAAATTTTATTATTCCTTATTATTCCTTATTTTTGTTATTATACCCAGTTCCTTACTTTCCTCTCATCCAATATGTTTTTCTGATAATTCTGAAGATTTTTTTAGACGCATATTCCAACTCTCATCTTTCTTTTTGAAATGTATTTTTTAAAGAATTTTAGCCATTTTTTAATACTGGGCAATTAAATTTTCTTATCTATTATTTAATATCTAATATTTATTAATATTTTTATGACTGCTGCCAACCAAAGATTGACAAAAATCAAAGGGAATATGCGTTTTACCGAGACAAATCGATGTCGATCGATAATATCCATAACTAGGATAACTGTTCCTATTAATGTCTTTTAGCCAACTTGCTTATTACTGAATTAATTATTAAATACTGTAACTTTAATTTTATCTGCTTGCAATCAATATCGGGCTTTCAACTATTTCTTTTTCTATAATATAATTTCTTTAATCTAAAAATGTTAATACTTTATAATGTTTTTGACAAAAATAAAAAACATACGTTTTTGTCTCTACTAGTGAATTTTCCAAGCGATAAGGGCGATGCTCTTATTAATGTGCTCCCAATTTGTATCTATCCATATTTGACTCATTTTAATATATAGTTACTAAAACAGGTAATAAATTTAAGCTAATTATTTAAGTTAATATTACATAAATCATTATTTCAATTATATTTATTTCAATGTACACTCATAACAGAATGTTCTCAGCTTCAATACAGGGCACATTAATAGGGATAAGCTTAAAATCTTGCGGTTACTGGATTCACATAAATTTTTCATATCTTTTGAAAAATATTTAAAATACTTTAATATTCAAAAAATAAAATATTATCTTCGGTATCGTATGCATTAATAACTTAACAAGAAAAAATATTTTTTCTTATTTATTCGTACTAGTTTTCTTTATGATATATATGACTTATCAATATACAAAAGTACACTAATAGGGACAGGCACAGTAATTGGGACATTTACCCTACAATGTATTTTCTTATCAATTTTTGACTATAGACTTTTTATTGACCAAGCTTGGTAATTTATAGCACATAATTATCATTAATTATTGTTAATAAATGTATTGTTAATAAATAAAAATAATTGCATCAACATAGATTTTTGATTAGTTAGAAATGAGTTCTCGTTATATGCATGTTATTTGATTGAATGTTAACTGAATCCAGGAATTAAATCCATTAACCAATGAGATGTATTGTCAATAAGGAACTTTAGTGACTCTCAGTTAGCACATATCATAAGCTGTGTTCAAAGAAAGCTTTTCAGCAGAGGCACAAATCGACACAAAAGCCATTTTGTTTCTTATTGATTATCGAACAAGGACAGAATGATTCTTGTGTCAATTTGTGTCTCTTGCTGAAAAGCTCCCAAAAAAAATAGCTCAATGAATAATGGTTCTTTATTATGAATATGGTTTCTACATTTAGTCCAGTGAAGAATAAGATCAAGAATCAATCATATTAAGCAACATTCTATGACAGCAGAAGATCACTAGCGATTCCATGTGTTGAGTGAAACATATACGAATGAAAGTAAGTAGTGTCGATTGTTTCCATAATATTTATTTCAGCGAATATATTGGTAGTGTCAGAATGGAAAATATGAGTGAAAGAAATGTGCAATCGCATGGAATAATAATATTGATTCTTAAGGAGGATCAATTCGAAGTTGACAAACAGAAATTAATCACCAAAAGTCTAAAAACTTTTTTAGAACATTATCAGATAGAACGTTATCCACTATACTTCTTAGATTTCATTACTGATTTCTTGATTGCAGTAAAAATAATTCTTGTTCATAATTAAGAATTTTTAATTACAACTTGTTTCTTTACCTTGTAAGTAACAATTTTTTTAAATAAATGAATTTTTATTATTTATTATTTGTCTAGGAATATTATTCATCTATACGAAATACTCCACCTAACTTGAGCATCTGAAATATCTCCCTTGGTTTTCGAATGAAAAAATGTTTTAAATGAAAGATTGGAACGGTTTCAAGAGGAACATATTTTGGTCATGTGATCTTTCTTCTAGGTGGAGGCGTGAAAAAGCTATGAAGATTATCTCCATTTTTTTAATATAATTGTATAATTTTTTTACACAATATGATTCCTCTAATTATTCTACATTAAAAAGTATTAAGGAAATTTAAGTATTAGAAATATCAAAACACTAATAGTTTACGAGATATTTTTAGATAATTTAAATTTTAATTGTAAAAAAAATACATAGTTTACAATGACAAGTTTACAATGACATTTCAACGATACCGGAAGATATGAAAGAACGAATCAGAACCGCATATAAAAATATTAGTTTTTAATATTAGTTTTTAATCATATCAGTTTTTAATCTAATTTATCTAGTTCACTTGCACACGAACTTGAATGATACTTGATTTATATAAATCTTCATTGATTTAATAAAAATATATATCTAAATAAAAATCTAGAAAAATATAGTAAACGTTGCGAGAACATTGCAAAGAATGAACAGATAGAATATATACATTAAAAAGAAATATCGTTTTTCCGGGAAAAATGTTTTATATATAAATATACATAATTATAATATAA